TTCCATTATCCCAATATAACACCAAGATATACCCCATCATATTAAAGTAGTTTCCATCTTATTTTCCATTATCCCAATATAACCCCAAGATATACCCTGTCATATTAAAGTAGTTTCCATCTTATTTTCCATTATCCCAATATAACCCCAAGATATACCCTGTTATATTAAAGTAGTTTCCATCTTATTCTCCATTATCCCAATATAACCCCAAGATATACCTTAAATTCTTGAGCAGCTCCCCTCCAGCAGGCAGGGCATGCATTGAAGTAGAACATGCCCGTGTGACCAAATGAAGGGCAACTCTTCTACCAATGAATCCTTAGCTCAGTGCTCGCAAGTGCTGCCAACGAGTTGCTGCCTCAAGCAATCGGGCATCCCACCATGATCCCCTGCGAGTCGTCTCCGTGCATGAATCGGGTCAAGGTCAGCATCGAGGAACTGATCCCTGCGTCGGCTTTAGGGTTTGGGTTTAGGGTCTAGAGTTTCAGCACGAAATTGGAGTGTTTGCATTCCTCAAGACAAGCTTGAGACAAGACAATCTGGGCAAGGGCACTAAGCAAGTGAATGGGCATTGGCAGCATGGTGCATGCGACTGATGCTGGATCTACGTGCGCAGTGCATGTGGCAGATGGCCTTTGAACCTCTGTTGTGCTTCCTTGGCGCCATCAGAAGCATCACTCGAAAACTCCTGGAATCCAATCCTGGCGGCATGAGGGCATAATCGAAGCTGAAGCAGGGTTCAAGCCAAGCTTGAGCACAAGTTACTATATTGGGGAAACCAGATTGAATATATACCCACTATGGTAACCCTAAACCCTAGATCTATACCCTATATACCCTCTATACCCTGTATACCCTATATACCCAGTATCTTGCAAGGTTTCCTCCGCACACCTGTCAGTGCTTGCATTGAAGCTCACCCTTTGCCCCCATGAGGTCGGCACAGCTCGCAGCAGAAGATGGCGAAAACATAGAGATTGAAGACAATGAGGCTCATAGCTGGCACAAGTTGAGACTCAGTACTACTTGAGTCCATCCCAGGGTGTAGGGTTTAGGTTTATTGGGTTTAGGGATTAAGGTTATTGAAAGAGGGGTAAAGGGCTTACGACCAATGCAAAACAAAGAGAGGTCGCCCTGGAAGCTGGCGGAAGTTGGGGTCTAGGAGTAGAAACAAACATACGGATATCCTGTTGCAGGCTTTTGGGCTAAGGAAAAACATTGACTTTTCGTGTCACTTCTGAGGATGGAAGGAACTTTCTTGGAAGTAGCCAGCTTGGCTTATCATCGCTGCCTGCTTCGAAAAGTTGTCTCGTTACCTGCGGTGTTGGGCAGACCCCATGACCCGCAGCACTATCGAAAAAGGAGGTCTCCCTTCTGTATACGATTGTATTCACGTATGCCAAAGTGCTTCCACCCTCAGTATACGAACTACCCGATATGCCCCCTAGAATCTCTTTGAAGGAACCCCTAAGTGTTGGAATCTAATTTTTGTGGAAATCCCAGATGTGACATGCAATGCGGGGTCCCGACCTGATGCCAGTGTGCCTCCGCTGCTGACTAGCCCACGCACCAACCTCGCTGCTGAAACAAAATCCAACACTTGTACGGCTTCGGATGTAAGCTCTCAGGCTTCGGGTGTGAAGCTGAAGGGCTGGGACACGGTATGGAAGTTGCAAAAATTTTGAGTGAGGGCTTGGGGTTGGAGATTTGAGGTTTAGGTCGCTGAGCTTCGGACTTCCAGAGGTCTTCGAAAGCACCCACGTGCTTGAATGCCTTGACCTGGAAAGTTGTCAAAGTGGTTGTGGTCGTGGATAGGCTAGGGATAGATGCGTTTAGAGTTTCGGGAATTTCGTCGTCAGGTTGGATTGCAAGGCTTGTCCTCAACCCTGCCAAAAATTATCCAAGGATGATTTTGAGAAACTCCCGCGCCAGATGCCGTCCCCACAGTAGATGTTTCCATAAATGACCAAGATGCCTAGACTAGATTAGACTAGAATTCCCGTCACCGAGAAATTGGATTCAAATCTAGACCCCCATTTATGAAGATACCTCTGAGACACAGGCTAGCTGCACGAACCGCAGCATCCGCGCAATACGGAGAAACTTGAACAGGTCGCTCCTGGACGGCTCCGAGAAAAGCCCCAAAGTGTGTGAGACACACAAGGGACCTATGTTGTCATAGGTACCCAAACATATGAGCTATGAAGAAAAAGCAAATACTGGAGAGTGCTGCTGAACGTGCTCAGAACGCTGGAACTCGGTGCTTCATGAGATCGTACTGCTGCAACGCAAATGCAAACGTATGGCGAACTATGGAATAAGTACCAGCACGTTCAAACCGACTAGTCCAATAGAACCAGTAGTATATGATGTATTTCCTAACCTCACAGTTTCAGTTTCAGGATAGCATACCAGAAAACAAGACTTCAAAGCAGCTTCTAAGAACTCCTACACCTGGAGGATTCTTCATGCTCATGATGACGGGTACAGGGGCTGCATAGCAGGCAGCGTATGAGTAAGACTAGTCGTGAGGATAAGAATGGTGAAGTACTAGTGCTAGTAGAAGACAAAGTAGCAGTAGCAAGCAGTAGCGGTAGCGGTAGCGGTAGCGGTAGCAGTAGCAGTAGCAGTAGCAGTAGCAGTAGCCGAGGGGTAGTAGGACTAGTAGTTGCAGTAGTAATCGATAGTGGTAGTAGTAGTAGTAGTCGTCGTCGTCGTAGTCGTCGTAGTAGTAGTAGTAGTAGTAGGAGGATTGTTGTCATAGCAATAGTTATGAAATATATTTTGGGGTGGGACAGGGCTTCAAAATTTGTAGTGGTATTCTAAGCCTAAACCCCAAACCCTAACCCCTATATCCAAGAGTAGGACCTTGCTTGAGGGTAATTTCTAGACACCTCCTAGTACCAGTTCTGCAATAAGGGTTTAGGGTTTATGGTTTAGGGTTGAGAGTTAGGCATAAGCTGGGACATTGCCACAGCTCCGGTATACTTCTCGCAATACAATTCTCCCTACATCCTCCCAGACCCCATCACGCCCATTTTCAGGAGCCCGACAAAGGATCCCATGCTTGTCAAAATCGCGTGCCCAAACCCACCAGGAAAAAAAAAATATATATATATA